TGCTGTCTTATGCTGAGATCCTGTGGCACTTCTGGAACTGTGGCTTCTTTTCCCTTGAAGACATCTGACTTGCTGGGCAGTGGTCCTGATACATGACCTGAACGGCATTGTCCCTCACATTTGCAAGATCCCCCCAAAAGGAATTGATCCATACTAGCATAAAAAGGTACATGCAGGCATCCACCACCAACTGGTATGAAGCTAAGTTGAGAAATTTCACTTTGGCCCACGACTGATATTCAGGGTAGGTCTGTCTTGTTTACTTTGCCCCAGGACATGTTTAGGATTGTTTAGGACTCAATATACAAGTCTTCTCAAGGACAGATAGGAATTCTTGCCCTGACCATGAACTACAACTAGAGAACTATAACTCTCGAGGTTAGGCACAATGGAAACAGAAAGGAAAACGAGAACATGACCAAAAAAATGAGACCGGAAGATTCCTGACACTTGATGGAAGGCCTCTGGTGGAGTCACTGCATTTTCTGGAGCCAACTATTTCTGCCAAACCTAAATAGTAGAGGTGGGCTGAGCGTAGACCACATGCAAACAGTGGGTGGCTCTCCAGGAAGAAAGTAAGTGCTGCCTCATTTTTCCCCACAAATAGTTATCAAACTAGGCTGCAATACACATATAATGTGGGAGACCTGGATCAACAGCAGAGGGCCTATGACTTTGGGGGTACCATGAGCTGAGAAATCAAAAGTATCAAAGATGCTAAGCAATGGGGTAAATTCCCTCAGAAAAATGGGTGTTATAAGAATGAGCACTAGCTTTAAAGGAAGGCTAACCATCCCATCGGGCAGCTAAGAGAGATGAACTAAATGTGCTGCCACTGTAACTACCATAGAAGTTGCAGAAGTTGTGGACAGGGGACCCAGAACTGCTAATGTGATTCTAGCCCATATTTTGAATTTGGGCAAAAAAGTGATGGTCGATGATTCCCTATCTATGAAATGGCTAAAATCTCTAACACCTCATAACAAAGAGAGCTTTCTTCACTGTGAAGTTGCCCCTTCTGTCTGGGAATAAAGTTGAGACTCTTTCCTAAATTAAAGGCCTTACAAATATTGTAGAGAACCCACCAATGTTGTGGCACAGTTTGTTTTTTTTTCTGTCTGCTCTGGTGAGTTCTCTCAGTATAATACTACTGGACAGAAACCATGGCAGTCACAAGGAGATCTCTCACAGCTTAGCAGTGAAAGTCAGCTTCCCAGAACTGGGATTTGTTAGTGAGTTTGTAGAGTTATCATCCAAGCAGTTAGGGCAGTGGATCTCAACCTTTCTAACGCCTCCTAATGCCGCAACACTTTAATACAGTTCCTCATGTTGTGGTGACCCCCCAACCATAAAATTACTTTTATTGCTACTTCATAACTGTAATTTTGCGACTATTATGAATCATAATGTAAATATCTGATATGCAGGATGTATCTTCATTGTTACAAAGGGGTGATGACCCACAGGTTGAGAACTGCTGAGTTAGGGGATCTGGACTGCATGGACTTAACTATGTCTTTCAATTACATCACATTGGCCTGAGAGGCCTTAGCAGCTTCAGATGCCTTTAAAAGATGGGGGAGGGCTCAGTGCCCATAGCACAGTGGTTTTGGTGCCAGCCACGTACATTGAAGCTGGATGGTTTGAACCCAGCCTGAGCCAGCTAAACAACAATGACAACTGCAGCAAAGAATGGCCAGGTGTTGTAGCGGGCACCTGTAGTCCCAGCTGCTTTGGAGGCTGAGGCAAGAGAATCTTTTGAGGCCAAGAATTTGAGGGTGCTGTGAGCTGTGATGCCACAGCACTCTACTGAAGGTGACATAGTGAGATTCTGTCTCAAAAAAAAAAAAAAAAAAAGATGGGGGAGAATCTGAAAATGAGTGTCAGGGTAACAGCCTCAGGCATTCATATGTAGTCATACTTCCTAGCACAGCTTATAGTGCTTTTTCTATGATTGGCCCATCTGAAGGAGCACAGCAACTTTACAAGCCAGAAAAAGCACTTTAGATATATTGCTCTAATCCTCACAGGAGGAAAGAACTACAGTGATCTGCCAGTGAAGCAGCTCAGCTGATGGAACACCTGTGACTTAAACTATCAACTGCACGGTCCCTTTGCCTTCCCTGTTTCACCTGCATTTTGAGATTTGGACATTCACTGAATCTGTACCTTGCTCAACCACGCATTATGTAATAGTGCTAGAAAACACACAGGTGTTTGATGGAGCCTGCCAGGAGAAAATACTGGCTACTGTGTGACTTTGGGCAAGTGATTTTCTAGACTTCATTTTCCTTAATCTGAAAACTGGGGATAATACAATGTACCTCTTAGGTACACACTGAAGGATTAATTAAAAGGAAATAACATTTGCAAAACATCTAGGAAAACATTTGATACACAGGCAATCTTTATACTGATATCCGTATTACTATTAAAGTATATTAGTGTACATGTGAAAAGATGACATTCCTTCTGTAACAAAGTTTAGTTTTGAAGCATATGTTGCTTTAATTAGCTTTTGAAATTTACTTCAACTCAAAGAAATGCAGAAACAAATTAAATAAGTATTCTGTAGAAAATACTTCTATCTCACCTTAGTTGCTTCATTGATGATTTTGAACCTGGTGCCATCTTCACTTGTTGTGACTGAGTCTACTAATACCTGATAGATGGATTTTTTGGAGAGATTCTGTTTCTGACGCCTACAGGTATGAAGTATACAGATGCATGAGAATTATTTGTGACTGTCAATATCTAATAGGTTATAATACCATGTGTAAGTTATTAAAATTCACTAAGATATTGCTTAAGTTGGGTATAGACATTATTAGTATTCTGATAAAGTACTAATAAGAGTACTATTAGAGTGCTAATAAGATGAGGTCTAATTGGACTAGGCACGGTGGCTCACGCCTGTAATCCCACCACTTAGGAGGCTGTGGCAGGTGGATTGCCTGAGCTCATAGGTTCGAGACCAGCCTGAGCCAGAGTGAGACCTCCCCCACCTCCTTCTCTAAAAAATGGCCAGGTGTTGTGGCAGACACGTGTAGTTCCAGCTAATTGGGAGGTTGAGGCAAGAGAATCACTTAAACCCAAGAGTTTGAGGTTGCTGTGAGCTGTGACATCATGGCACTCTACCAAGGGTGACAAAGTGAGACTCGGTCTCAAAAAGAAAAAAAAGAATACTAATGAAATTGTTCAACATAACAGTGCTTAAAGGATGGCATGTTGTCTCCTTTATTGAGAAAGTGGGGCAACTTTCATAGATGATATTTATAACCTTGTTAATTTCCCTCCCTCTTTCCATGAAATGGACACTTTAGTAGTAACTCAATAAATTCTAGTGGAAAGCCAACATAATCTAGTGGTTTAACAAGGCAACCAGGCATTCATTGTAGACTTTCCTCTAAGTATCTGTTCAGGATTGAAATGATATTCTTTTCTTCTTCTAGAAAAAAGAGTAAATAAATTAGAAAGTTACAACATATAATACAATTTTTGATGATTTCAGTTTCAGGATCACATAAAAACAGTTAAAAGACATATTTTAAGGATTTGAAGATTTTAAAGACATATATTTTAAGGATTTGGAGAAACAGGCTCATATGCGGTGAAGGACAAACGGGTACAATTCCTGTGGAGGGAAATCTAGTAATGGGTAACACATTTCAAATGCATTTACTCTTTGACCCAGTAATCCTAGGCCTAGCAATCTATCCTATAAATATACCCAAATGTGTAGGAAATGACATATCTATACCTCTTCACTGTGGTAGTCCTATTTGAGAAAGTTTAAAAACAATCCATAGCTCTAGCAGTAGGAGACAGACTGAATAAATTATAGTAGATCTACCCTATGGAATACTTTGCAACTACAAAAAGGGAGGACACTCTCTGCTCAGCGCCCGTAGCTCAGGGGTTAGGGTGCCAGCCCCATATTCAGAGGCAGGTGGTTTGAACCCGGTTGGGCCTGCTAAACCACAATGACAACCGCAACAATGAGTGTTGTAGCAGGTGCCTACAGTCCCAGCTATTTGAGAGACTGAGACAAGAGAATCGCTTAAGCCCAAGAGTTTGGGATTGCTATAAGCTGTGACGCACAGCACTCTACTGAGGGCGACATAGTCAGACTCTGTCTCAGAAAAAAAAAAAAGGGAGGATACTCTCCATTTCCATATATCCATTACTCTTCAGAATAAACTATAAAGCAGAAAATAAAAGGTACACAACAGTGCAAAAGTGTATACAGAAACCTACTTACTCACACCTACTTGGTTTAAGGAAAGAGGTGATAAAAAGGGGTAAAATAAAAACGTGTATTTATAAAAAGAAATACTTGAAGGATAAATAAGAAATTAATAAATCTTACAGAGACAAGATAAGGGATTAATTAGAAAAAAAGAAGAAAGAGGGGTGAGAATAAGACTTCTCATTCTTCTTCTTCTTCTTTTTAATTAAGAGACAGGAGTAAGAGTTTTCACTGTATATACCTCCCCCCCCTTTTTTTAAGAGACAGGGTCTTACTCTGTTCTCTGTCAGCCAGGCTGGAGTACAGTGGCACAATCACAGCTCCCTGTAATTCAAAGTCCTGGGCTCAAAGGATACTCCTGCCTTGGCCTCCCAAAGTGCTGGGATTACATGAGCCACCGTTCCGGGTCTCAATGAATACCTCTTTATTATTATTATTATTATCATTATTTTAAAAATCACTTCTCAGTTGATCTATATTATTTTGGAGCCATGCATTGTCTATTCAGAGATGTAGCATTTAAAAATTAGTTTGAAAACATTTTGAATTTTGAAATAAAATACTTGTTAACTGAAAAATGTAAATAGTATAGAGCAGTAAGCATATAAAGGTGAAAGTCTCTTGTCTAATGAATTTTTCATTCATTAAATTTCTGACTGATCCCTTCTTTAGAAAGCCTTTTTTTTTTTTGAGACAGAGCCTTACTTTGTTGCCTTGGGGCTGAGTACCCTGGCACCACCATAGCTCACAGCAACCTCAAATTCTTGGGCTCAAGCAATTCTCTCACCTCAGTCATCGCAGTAGCTGAGACTACTCACCACCACACCTGGCTAGTTTTTTCTATTAGTAGAGACAGGGTCTTGCTCTTGCTAAGGTTGGTCTCGAACTCCTGAGCTCAAGCAATCCAACCACCATGGCCTTTCCGAGTGCTAAGATTATAGGCGTGAGCCACTGTATCTGGCCAGAAAGTCTTAATAGTTCTCAAAAATGTAGTAAGCATCAATTTTGAAACATTGTCAGAAATTTGATCTAGGTAATATATTTATTTTCCTTACCTGTAGAAAGCAATCTTGCTGCAGTCTCTGAAAATACTTTTATCCACAGCTTCATCTTCAACACTAAATAAAAAGACATATTAAGAAATTTATTTTACATAGGGTTTGTGAGTCCAAGTTTTGTACCTTCTCTTAGTATGAACATACAAAGTAAGTCTTTGAGGTCTATTCTGCAATGCAAGATTGTGTTACAGTCTTCACACAGCACAGTAGCACATATGCTACAGAACAATATTCTTTTTTAAACCATCCAAGGTAAATAACAAAACATCAAGTTCTGGGATTACCCCAAAGCAATGGAAAAAGAACATTGTCACTTATGAGAAAGCGTTCTTTTAAAATAATGACTGAAGGCTATGACTGAAACAGTAAAAATCTGAAGGAACAAAACTAAACCAAACCAAAACAGCACCCCCTAAACAACCAAACAAAGCAAAGCCAATGAGCCAACCACAACCTACCTACCTATATTCACCAAAATGCATTCAGAATATTCTTACTGGGTGTTAAGTTCTGAGGAAGATATGCGCTGTGCTAAGTTTTTTGCAAGAGCTTAACCAGCAATCATAATACAAGCTAAGAAATAAAGAACAAAGGTGCAAGATAACAGAATAAGAATAAAACACATGTTGAAGAAAAATATCTGGTTTTTAAAGATGAGCCTGGCCATGTGGGGGCCAATGCTATTTTCAAACTAAATTTTAAAACATGAACAAAATGAGGGTGGCGCCTGTGGCTCAGTGAGTGGGATGCTGGCCCCATATACAGAGGGTGAT